CTTTTGCCTACCTAAAGTTTGAACATGACACTCTACAGGATAAAAATGTCTACCCTGTGCAAATTCAGATGGGGAGTAAAACACTACCCCTCTCTTTTATTTGCTTAATGCAAAATAAGATATTCTACAGATAAAAAGGTAACTACAGAATAACCCACAGGAACTATTTCTTCAGTAAGTAGTAGTAGTAAGTAGTATTAAAAGTTCACCTTACTGAACAAAATCTTCCCTGAGCCCTTAGTAAGAGGAGTGTGCTGAAAGACAGAAACACACCTTCGTGAAGGGTGAAGTGGAAAGTCATCAAAGAATTGAATTTGCATCCTTTTCTTTGGACTTAGATTACCATTTTTCCCTAAAACCTGCCCTCCCTCCTCTTCCCTCTGAAGCTCAATTTCTCTTTGCCTCTTTCATATTTTCACTCTTCTGTCATAATTGATGATTTCCTTTCTTCTCTTTCCTAAAAGTTTATATAAGAGCTGGTCATAATTTGAAGTGATGGGATGAAAGTAAGACAGCAAAATACAGTCTGAAAAGTCAAGGTTCTTGTCAAGGATCAAAGAATCTAGCAATCCTGCGACAGATGTGAGATGGTATATCTTTCACTTCATCTTAGTCCAAGACAGACCAGGATCACAAGTTTTGCCAAAGGAAGACCTGGAGCCAGCAGCAATCTCAGCCACGCTCTGATCTTTTTCATCTGCAAATCTTTCTTTATGTATTTTCCAGTTAAAATTAAAATCTACTTGCTCTTTTCCCCTTAGCTCTTCCTAGGCCCCATCTATTTCTTGTTCCACTGAACCTCAGTAGGGTGTTTTTTGTGGTGCTTTTGCGTGACTGACATTTAGCTTTGTTTGAAAACAGCAGGAGGAGTTATGCTATGAAGTTCAGTATGTACCTGCCTGAAATTAGCTGTAAGACATCCATGTTATTCAAGAAGTTTTAAAATGAGGTGGTGTATAAAAGCGAGGCTTTCTAGACACAAAATAGCAATCTAGAATTCATAATTTTAATTCAGAAAATCAAAACTGTTATTACAGTTTGAAACACGCAGGAAAATTGAAACAGATTAACAGGAAAAACCTTCTGATTATTTCAGTATTTCTTAATTAACAACTAGGACAGTGAAAAATGTCATGGCATGAGAACAGCAGGGTTTGGTGCTCACAGTGTTGTTATAAAAAGACAGTATAATGGAAAAAAAACAGAGATACAAATGATCATATTCCCCCAAAATCTGTGAGCCATTGAAATAATTCATTCTTTGGCAGAGATGACTCTTGGAAAACATCAGCTGGAGAAGTTCTAGAAAGCTACAAAGGATTGGATCAGGGTTTAGAAAGTGGAAACTATTATAAAATATGAATTAATGCAGTCACGCTCCTATTACAATTACTCACATCTCTTATCTCTTTTTCAGTAAGAAAAGTAACTTGGCTGACCCCAAAAATAAAGATGCTAACCTTCCAGCCAGAGAGTATATCAGTCTCCGTCTCAATTGTATGCCAACTGAATAAAGTCCAGAAATTAGCCGAAAGTTCGTGGCATGATATAATTTTAAAAATGAATACGCTATTATAAGTAAGGCATTTAAAGTTAAAGCAGATTTTAAAACACTTGACTTTTCATTCTAGGCATGACCTAATTGAGAGGTACAGACCAGAATGAAGCATCAAGGATATTGAAAGCTATTCTCTAGAGCTGCGCAATGTAAAGGAGTGAAACCTAAACTCCAGGTAGTGAACCTGAGTGATTTGTGTGATAATTTTTTCCAATTAAGAAAAAAATTCTGAATCATGAAGCAGTGTTTCAACTTACACATATACATCAATCCTTCTCCATCTGCATGATCTTTGGAGAAGTATTTCCAGTGCATACTTGGTGGATTTTCAGATGTTGCTAGTTTGGTCAAATTATAACCCATTTGCTAAAGATACCTTACTAGGGTGTTGATCTCTCCACAAAACAGGAAAATGTGAAGGGACCGTGTTTTTCCTCCATCACAGCATATTATCTTACTTTTCTGACATTAACTGGCACATCTGACACTAACATAAGAGATTTCCAATTATTCTTGCTTATTTCTCTGTGCCTCTTTGAAGTGCTATAGAGAATAATACTTATTAGGAAGAAATATTCCAGATCCTTCAGAGATGTTACAGGTCACTGAACCAGCTCTTAGCCAAACTGCTATTAAAGAACTCTTTCACCTAGGAAGCTGAGAAGTGGTATGTATCCATCTCCACTAAATCTTGCTTTCTGAAGAAGGGGGCCGCACCAGGTAGGAACAAGGACCGCTGCACAGCTACATGGGAGAGGCAACTAAGTAAAAGCAAGAGTTTAGAGTGGTCAGCCATCAGCAAAGATTCCTGCTGGGCAAGGAATCATGTAAATGCCAAAGCAAAAGGTGAGCTCAAAGGACTTATATGCTAGAGAACTTTTCACCAACAGGCTGTTGCCAACGCAACAGACGTTATTACAAACTTAAAGTTTGCAAACCTGTTTATTATGACACCTAATCACTTACCCTGGTTTTCCACACTGCCCATGGTCTGTATGCCATAGCCTGGGAGCCAGAGTAATAGTATGCCTTCACTGTAATCAAGGTGAGACTGAACTTCATAGGCATGGACCCTGCTTAGCTATGAGCTGGCTGGTTCAGATGATAGCGCCCTGAGCTCTGCGCTTGTAATGATTGCTTGCCACCCGGTTTAAAACTGGCTTGGGAACATTTACACAAGCTGAGGTCATGCCTCCAGCTGCTCTGTAACCAGGTGCTTAGAAAAGATATTCATATTGAAATCAATTGGAACATCATACCTGGAAAGCTTTTAGGATCAGGCTTTTATTGGAATGATTGTGATGAGGTGATAATCAGTATAATGATTGGCATTCAGTAAAGCGAGAATCAGTACACTGATTGTTTTGAGGTTTCTTGTTCATTTGTTTGTTTTGCAAACTGAGACAGAAATCCCTAATAAAACTGTTAAAAATCATATCAAGACTCCTACCATTTTCTACGATACAGTCATCTTTGAACTGCTGAAATCCCACAAAGGCAGTTACTAAATTTACACTTGACATTGGCAAGCCAACTGCAGTCTTATCTGCAATATATTTTAACTTTTTGTTACCAGGTTACATATAAAGTTTGCTTCTCACTACAGTTGCAGCCCTGCCTTCCAGTTAGTTATCAATGTCTACTGATAAAGGCTATTTTCCCATCACTTAATATTGAGCAATTTAGAAATAACGTGATCATTTATATAAAGTAAATACAATTCTGCTATCCATTAACCTTTTCTGCAAACAGACGCTATAGCATTTGGCTGAAAACAATATACCTTGATCCCTTCATACACAGCCACAGATTCCACTTAGTATACATACCTTTGACGTCAGGCATAAACAGACCAAGAGCAGCTACACCCACAAGCCTCTGATGTCGGATATGATCTAATTCACAACAGGTTACAACAAAATTAAATCCACAGAAGGCAGCAGATTGATAGGACTGTAAAACCAAGGGGATCACACGTTAAACACTTCAGTCTTTCCACAGATGGAGGACTGCATACAGTGTTATATTAGAAACAGAGGCCTCTATAAATAAGCAACCTGACCTTTGTTTGAAATTTATAAATAGGATCAGAGCATCTTTTAATTTTACTGACTTATTTCCTTTATAAACAGATAATGCATTTTTATGGCTTGTTCTGATGCATATCTAGCACATTCCATTTTTAGGTCTTGATTCACTTCCTGGGTTACACTACAACCAGAAGCAGAAATTCTAAAGTACTTTGGAAAAGCTTTGGGTTTATAGTATTTTTGACATAATCAAAACCAGCAAGTGCTAGAAATGTTTTAGAAAAGCATATTCACATTGCTCGATTGTAGCATTTTGGTTAAAATTTCGGAATTCATAGACCACACCTAGAATAAAAAGCAATGGGCTAAACTAAAGTGAAGGAAATTTTAGGGGGAGGCATTAAGGAAGTCTTCCTAACAGTAAATTAGGCACTTGACTACCTAATCTAGGATTACCACAGATGTTTAAAAAACACGTTAGGCAAATACATCATGAATAGACACAAATATACTAGAAGCAGGAGGTTTGCCTGGCTGATCTCAGAGGCTCCCTCCACCCCTATTTTCTACAAATACAATAGCATGACAACTAACAATATTTTCAGATAATTAGTTCTAACCTGCACCTTAGGTACAGCATCAGCCTTGCTCAACCCAAAAGTCCTACTGCTTTTCAAAATCATTCTCTCCAAAAAAACAGACACAGTAAGACAGACTCCAGTACACTCTCAAATGTTTTGTCTGCAAGTTTCTACTTCTCTAATTTAACAGGGAATTCTCATCTAGTTTTCCTGAGGCTGTTCCCACACAAACACATTCTAACTCTGGCCCATTTTCTATTGCTTCTGCTTTTTCTAGTGCTGGAGAGCCACAGAGTGGTTCAGCGTAAGAGATTGGGATACTAGGGTTGAGTGGACCCAGGTACAAATTCAAGAGTTTAAAAAGCAGTGTACCAAATAGCACATCCTAAGAAAGACCAGTTCCTTTCCCATCCCATAAAAGTCCACTCTAAATATTTAATATGCTGGTTCTGCTAATATTTATTAGCTTAAAAAAATGCCAGTATGTATTACAATATAGTTCAACATGCTGCAGTAAGTACTAGTGAATGCTGATTTTTATAAACAAGCAACAAACAACTATAAAAGGTACGGGCTTTTACTGGCAAAACAGTAATAATAATAAAGCCCCTTTTCAACATGTGCTAGTGTAATGTGCTTCGCTTTTCAGGAATATTTTTCTATCTCTGGAGTATAAGCTAAAATAGCAATTTATAATGAAAACATGATGATCTTAATTGCAATAGAGCAAATGATACACTTAATAGGATGTGCATGCTCTTTCTAAGCAGTTTACTGTATTTTCATATCTCCCTCAGTTAAGAAAGCAATAAGCCATCTGCAGATGTTTATGTATGAAATCCATCACAGGGAAAACATTTGCACTACAGAACAGATAAGATAATTAAAAATGAAATTGCAAGATAAGGTGTTTGACAGGGCGGAGGGAAGCCGCACAGTGGAGGAAAAACCATCCCCATGACTACTGGTCCTTTCTCCTCCCTGCTCATTGCTGTTCGCCTCTTCTTTGATTCCAGAGCTTGTTTTATTCCTCAGCAGCCTTTCTACAGACTGGCGGATCCAGTCACAGTTGGAAATTGTGGAACTGTGGTTTGTTTCAGAAAGAGAAGAAAAGAGAGTTTAAGTATCGCCTTAGCAGCAGATGGCTTTGCTTTGGATTCTTTTATACACAAAGGAGATGTGTTTGCTGGCTTTGTAATTAACTCAAAAAGGGAAAAGAAAAATTGTTAAAGGCAGTGTGGATATGACTTGAATTTTTCATCAGGTAAGAAGTCAGAAAATCCATAAAACTGTGGTAAAAGTTACTGAAATAATATCTTTTAAAGGATTATTGTATTCTGTACATCATATTTAAAATTGCATGGAAAGTTTCCTCCAGATTTTATCTGCGCAATACTTTGGAACTTAATAAACAGACCATGTTTGCAACCAAAACATTTACTGGTCACTTTGAAGGGATGGGACTATGCATCTTTAACATAGGTAAGAAAATACTTAGGAAAGAAAGCCTTTTTAAAACTAATTTTATTTTAGACTATGCTTTTAACTTTCTTTTGCTTATGCATGTTTCAGTAATGTTTCTGCACCTAGAGGAATGAAACAACTAGGCTAAGTGGATTATCATTTCTTGTAGTGTTAAACTCTCACTATGGTAGAGAACCTCCTTCAAAATGCATGGATTAGGGATTGAAGGAATTAGTTCTCTTATTAAACACTTCAATCCAATTCTGACATCAGCTGTAGTTGTGGTTCAAGGGTGCTGATTCTGCTAGTATTTACTAGCTTAAAAAATGCCAGTATGTATTACAATATAGTTCAACATGCTGCAGTAAGTACTAGTGAAACTTATTTTTCTAATGCTATGAATACTCCAGGTGTTTAAAAAAGACAGGTGTAATTGTTTTATTGCCAAGGAAATGTTTAAATTGCCTTGCAGAATGACATGTACTAAAGACTACACTTTTTAACTCACAGTACAAACCAAACAGTGAAAAGAAATTAATCTTTTTCCTGAAAAAAGGACAATGTAGAGGATCAGTGTGCTAAAAGCTAATGTAGTGAGTGAACTGATCACAAGGTCAGTACGGGGACTTTTCTTTAATGGTAGAAAGTACCAAAGAAGCCCTACCACCCACACTGAATTCTTGGGAGAGGACATTCAGCACTCACTATCAAACCGTGTTGTGCAACCATGGATAAATAAGCGAGCATAGCAAATAGCGCATAAAATATTACAAACCTGGCTCAGCCTCATGTCCTTTGAGTCCCCACAGCTTCTCCTGATAACGTAAAAAGCAGAGAAGAGTAGAGCTTGTCTTTGAAGGTATCTCGCTTCCAAGCCAGATCCCCTGCTAACACCCAATCTTTTCCCGAAGGGCAGGGCTCAAATCTCTGCCAGTCAGGTGAATACCGCAGGCAGTGCAAAGAGGAAGATCACCCTTGGGATAAAGCAGCCAGACTTTAGACCCTTACACATCTAAACTGGCAGCAAAGCTCATCAGGGCAACATTTACCACTGGTTGGCCTCTTGTCCTTCCAGCACACACATCCTTCTGTGTGATAAATCCAGCCAGGCAATTAGTGCTTCTTCAGGGGAAAAGTAGTTTACAGTGCATTCCAGGAAATATGTTGCCTGAAGGTGCTGCTGCCCAGCCACATCATCGGTTTCTGCAGGGTCTGACTGTGCTACCTTCAGGATCCCTTCCATTTCTCCTGGACGTATGAGGAGAAGAGTTTTTGCAAGCTGGTGCCCACACAGTAGGGTACATAGCTCTTGTTCCTGACTGACTGGAGTAGGGACACCTGCAAGGGACTACAAAGTCTATCTGAGCCACTAGACTTCAATAGCTTTTGCAGCATGATTGCGCAAGTTTCTATGCCATTCCCTCAAGATAGCTGTAACCGAGCCAGCCGGGTTATTCAGGGAGACTACAGGGCTTAACGTTGGCCCCTGACCACAAATTAAGTCATATTTGGAATATCAGGGCCCCATATAGTCACATAAATCTACAGCCACTTCTCACTCCAACGTGACTACACTAGCTGAAAAGTGTATTTTAATCAGAATGAGAGTGGTTATAGATCCTCCAAAGGTGATTGGGTTTTGTTTTTTTCAGAATCTTAATTTGAAGCACCCAAACTAATGTCATGCAGAAGCACCAGGATAAAGCAGTCGAGGATATAACTCTAGCTGGAATATTCTTTGGGTGCCTGGGGGCAAACAGTTACAGAATCATAGTTCCCAGTTTAACCTTGGATTTGGTGTTTAATCTCGTGCAAGCAACTAAACATTTTTTTATTCCTTCATGACTAAATAATGGCAATAGTTTCTGTAAAAAGGTTGACAAATCTTCTACACAGAAACAAATTATTTCTAGTAATAATAAAACATCCACCTATCCCTTCTTTTTGCGCATCCTCTTTAACTTTCCACTGCTTCTTCATCCTCCTTTCTCCACAGGGCTCTCAACACTGTGGTATTTATTACTAGGGGTGAAGAATGACCTCCTTCCTGCTAGTTTTCCAATAATTCCTACTTCAAAAAGGAATTAAGGTGAGTTGAGTTAGAGCTGAGTTTTGAAAGGTTTACGTGTAGAACCTATTTATCCATCTTTCAAAGTAACCCTTACATCCTCCTTTTTTCCTTTTCCAGGTTGGAAACATAGCCTCTTTCTGGCCAGAAAGCTGGTGAGCCTTTGATTTAGGATTAACTTTAATTCGATGATAAATTCAAACCCATCAGGATATTAATGGGAAGAATTAAGTTCAGCAGAATATTAGTTTTATAACAACAGAATTGTACTAATATCAGATTTTTGCTTGACAACTGTTTAAGTTAGAACTGCAAGAAGAATCAACTCTCTGTCTCTTGAGTACATGTTGTATTTAACCACAGAAAATTTTGGGGGTATCATTTGTCAAACTTGTACAACAGCACACGGTGTGTAGGGAAATGAGACAATTTGGCAACTACCGATATGGAAATAATTGTATGTGTAACTAAGATGTGATCTTTGTTTGGTTTACATTTTTCTCAGATTAGATTGAGGGAAAAGGGCCTGCTATCTTTAATGTATAAACAGAACAGGAAACTCCCTTAAAGATGTCCTTCATAGAGGTGTTGAATATCACTTAAGCTCAAGCACACATCATTTTGATTAAGCAGAAGGATTTGGTATATTAGCTCACATTGCTTTGTAGTTCTAGAGAAAATATGTGTGATGTCTAAGCTAGCAATGTGATATCAGGACTCAATTCTTCTTTCTTCTGATAATAAAAAAAGCAACAGATTATCCCCATTGGAATTCTTTAAACCTTGCTAAATCTTCGGCTGAGACAGATCTTAAAATATGTTATTTTGAAAAGCAAAGTTTATCCACAGTTGGTAAAGGAGGATTTGCATGAAAATGTTCATACAAGTTTAAACAGAGCTGTCACTGCTATTTCTTATACATCACAATCAGTTACAGTTCTGTAACACTGTCAGTGCAGAACCTCAGAAAAGTAGCATCAACCTCTATCCATATACATATATACACCAAAAACCACTAATACTCAACCACTGTTGGTTCCTTTCAGGATTTCTCAGTGCTATAATTAATTAGATTAGATTTGCTCAAAACTTGAAGGACACCAACTACAAAGATAGACTCGTAGTAATCATTGCCTTGGAAAGCTCCGTACAAAGTATATTCTAAATAATAGTAGGTTTTGTCCATAGGTTGGCAGATGCTTCACGATGGATAAAGCCATTCAGCATCCCAGTGAGATTCTGTCTAATCAAACCATCTCAAACATTAGCTATTCTCAGTTTTTAAACTTTGACACATGCCAACCTTCCTTCCTTGCAGAATTCTTGCTTATTACAGCCTACACATTAGTTACAATAGTGGGCATTTTTGGAAATCTTTGCCTGATTATTATAATAAAGAGACGGAAAGAAGCTCAAAATGTTACCAACATTTTGATTGCCAACCTCTCTTTATCAGATGTCTTGATCTGTATCATGTGTATTCCTGTCACAGTTGCATATACCTTAATGGACTACTGGATATTTGGGGAAGCTATGTGTAAAATCAGTTCTTTCATACAAAGTGTATCTGTCACAGTCTCCATTTTCTCACTTGTACTCATTGCTATCGAGAGATACCAGTTAATTGTAAACCCACGTGGCTGGAAGCCTAGTATTTCACATGCTTACTGGGGAATTCTTTTCATCTGGGGGCTTTCCCTCATAATAGCCATTCCTTTTTTAATATTTCACCAATTAACTGATGAACCCTTCAAACATCTATCTTTCCATAGTGATTTCTACAAGAACAAGGTTGCTTGCATCGAAGCATGGCCATCTGTTACGGAACGACTGATTTTTACCACTAGTCTGCTGGTTTTCCAGTACTGCTTCCCACTGGGGTTTATTTTTATCTGCTATCTCAGGATATTTGTGTGTCTTCGAAGGAGACATGGTAAAATAGACAGGATGAGAGAGAATGAGAGCAGACTGAGTGAAAACAAAAGGATTAATATTATGTTGATATCAATTGTTGTGACTTTTGCAGCTTGCTGGTTGCCTCTCAATATATTCAATGTTGTTTTTGACTGGAACTATGAGGCACTAATGAGTTGTAATCATAATCTAGCATTTACAATATGCCACCTTGTGGCCATGATCTCAACATGTATCAATCCCATCTTTTACGGATTTCTCAACAGGAACTTTCAGAAGGATTTGATAGTATTAGTTCACCACTGCAGATGCTCAGCATCACAAGAGGAATATGAAAATATTGCCCTTTCAAATCTGCAAACTCACCCATCCAAGGGATCTCTGAAATTAAATAATACCCCTGTGGATATCTAAAATAATCCAACAGCAGTTTCCAAAATTTTGTATTTTGTTGTAGATGACCTCTTTCTGTAGGTCTCGATCATGTTACCGTTGAGAGGAAGTCTTTGCCATTTAGTTCAGCAAAAACAGGATTATGCTCCCATAGGCATACTCTTAACAGGTACTTTATGATGGTATTAATGCTAATAAACCACTTCCAAGAGTCCTAAAGATCAATAATAATGAATTATAAACAGTATTAACATCTTTCTTTTTTAATGCACAATTTCCAAGTCACTGGCATACTACACCTTAGCACCAATAAAAATATTTCCATTTCAGCCACTGATGTGGTTGTCCTTCCTAAACACCTGGCTTCACCCAAGTAATTTCCATTTCAGCCACTGATGTGGTTGTCCTTCCTAAACACCTAAACCTAAACAGAAACCCAAGTAAACCATGAATACTGTGGCATTCCTAACTTCATCAGCCTTTTCACAGACTGTTTTCTGGCCTTTTAATTTTCCAACCCTACATTGTTCCCGCCTCTGGTTAATCTGCACAACAGTTTATAGGCCGTTCATGCTGTAAGGAAGGCCCCTTAAGTTATCCTAAGCCTCCACCATCTTCCTTTCAGCCCCAGCAAGTAGTTTGCTTCAGTTTAGTACCAGTTCAGCCTAGAAATTGTATTTTAACAAGGGAAAAGGCTAGAGTTGGATTTTTTTTTTTTAAATGAGCACTAATACAGGCCCCATTTGATGTACTGCAATTTCCACTCAGATTGATGCTGTTCAAGATGGAATATGTATTTAGCATTTCTCCTAAAAGCATTGTATTCTACTCCAAACCACCAGTATAGATCATTGCTTTCTCTGTTACCACCATCACCGGTCCTTAAAACAGACCTTTTAGAATCTCCATTATCAAACAAACACACTATGAATTCAAAGTAAATTTTGTTTTAGCTACTTATCCAGATTATAGCTTTCTCTTTGAGTAGAAAATTACTTTTGTGTTTTAATTTCAGATATATCTTTCTCCACATTTCTGCACTAGCAAGAGGCCACACTTGAGGCAGACGCGGTAATTTCTGTTGGACTATGTTTGGAAATAGTTTCTTCTGTAATGCAGTGCATAGAAGCCCAAAGGTGTATTACTGAACACAGCTTCCCTCAAACTAAAACACATTAAAAAGCACTATCCAGTTTGGTCATAAAAAAATACAAAGAGACATTCTTCATCCATGCTACGATGCCAACATAAATAATCAGTTAAAATTGGGCTGTATAAATACGATACTTAGAACACTTTAGTCTAACAACTCACCACCTTAGAAGTAAACTTGACTTCTTTCGTTCAAGTTAAATATAATTAACTACCTGTATTGCTAAAGCCCCCCCTTTTTTTTCTAGTTCCAGAAACTAGCCTTGTTTTAACACTTGTACATAAAATTCCTTGTAATTTATTCTCTAACTTTAGCATTTAGCGATACCTCACTCAAGCACAAAGAATTAACATTCAGATTACAATTAGCTCCCTGATGATTCAGCTATGATGAAACTTACCTTAAAGCTATACAATTCTCTTGGATAGGGACCATCATTTTCTGTAATCATACAGTTCTTAAAGGATTCTGTCAGGTCATAGTTCTCTCGTTCTGTTGCTACAGCATTAGTGCAAACTGTCTGCGTTACTCTACTCATCAGAGGAGCTCTGCAAGAAGAGCCTCACAAGCTCTTGCAGATACGCTGGGTGATTAAGTGCTTCCTGATTCACACTGAGCAAAAAGACTCATTGAAATCTGTTAAGGCCCGATCCCATTGAAGTCATAAGGGCAGCACTAGTCACAAGAGCAAGGATGGCAGAATTAGTGACATGGTAATCCAGTATTTGAGTGACAGCTATGGATTATTTTTGGCATAATTTAGTATTTTTTTTCTAATCAGATCAAATATAATGCATGTAAAGTAGAGTGTGTAAATAATCACAACTTAAACACCTGCCTTGTGCATCACAGAAGGAAAAACAGGAGACAGCTAAATACCTACTAAAGGCTAATGATCAGACAGCAGAGACTATCTTAGTGTTAATTATTTCCATTAACTCCCACCCTCAGTTACTGGCTCCCTTTATTGCTGATACACACCATCTGCTTGTCCAGTGCAACAGGTGATTAACCAAGTAGAAAGCAGTAACTTATAGTCAACGATACTGCTGACATACCGTGCATAATCAGAGTGGCTGGTATATGCTTTCGTGAAGGGGAGGTGATGGAGCTGGTCCTCTGTTCCATCAGTGAGACTCCAGGTTAATAAAGTGGTTAATTATCTCCATTTCACTTGCTTAACTGAGAGCAAATCTCATCCAGGAATTTCACTTTTCTTGGAGATTCCAGTTCCCATATAAAAAGCCATCTAATATTGTCAGAAGATCATTCACTGAACAGAGCATTTTAACCAATTATGGTGGCATACCTGCTAGAGGTTGGGTTAGCAGCTGGATTTTTCCGAGTTTGGAACAGAAATCTCTATCACCATCTTCCTCTCATTTAAGCACACTGTTTACAGCTTCAGAGCCCATGCTTAAAGCAATTTACAAGCACATGACATTCACAATATACTCTCATTTATTAATATTAGACACAATAGTTCAGATTACTCTCAGTTCTTGTGATGGCAAACATCTCAGGCAGTATTTAGTGTTGGGATCAGGCCCAGCTGAGATTCCCATGTATGAACTTGGCCTAAGTGGCTCCCATACCAGATTCCCATCCCATAGGCATGCCTCAAGTGTGCTTCATTTTACAGCAGAGATGTTTTTAGTATCAGGCCCCAAGTGGTTTAAATACAGCCACGAAATG